TGACTACGAGGTCAGTGTCAAATTATCAGGCTATTAAAAAATGGTCCTTTCTTGTCATATAATCCTCATTAAGACGTATGAAATTTATTTTAAACGCTATTAGAATTGGTGTAGGTCCTATATAAAACGGAAGGCAATAAAAACGATTCTAGAATGTGCTACGTTCTAGGGACTGCCTTCTTCAACAAAGACATCCAAGAACGATTCGAACCCTATTATAATATTAATCCTGCAAATCCTGTGCTCTTGATGTCTATTTAAGTACTAGAGAGAGTAATTTAGCTCGTGTGCTGTGGGCGTGCGCAGTTGGTCACACGGCCTAGTTGTCACGCCACGGTGTTCATTTGAAGTTAAAGGGAGTTAGAACTTTATGGGATAAAATTATAATCGTTGCCATGGTAACGCTGTTAATGAAGGCCTACAACATACATGCACTCCAACGCAGCACAGTTATTATAACCTTGATATAAGATTATATTTGAGATTGGGATATGTTAAATAGTGTTTCTTTTCTTTTAATTAATCAAAGATAATTAATTATATTAATTTTGTTGTTATACGACATTGTTTAACTTTGATTTTTAAATAATTCACTGCAATTAAGCAAAATAATAGTTTTCATTTTTAAATAAAATAAATGTGTTCCTTCGGATTTTATTTAATATTTAACGGGCGATTTTCCATCTAATTTCTTAACGAATATAATTTTTTTCTAAATCCATAACAAATCATCATTCACGATCATCGTCTCACTGACATAAACAGTTGAAAGCATCATTAATAAATCGGCTATTAAACTTTCTATTTTCCTACGAGGCTCAGACTTTATAAATCCATTCGTTCGAAGGTTGGCGAATATTAATGTTTGTTACAAAGGTCAGAGAAGAAGTTATGGACCATATAAAGATCACAAGCGTGTGCAATGGCTCGTGGTAACCTCCTTGCGTGTATGGCGCATTCATATAGCCATAATTCTATGCGTAGGTGATGATATAAAATGGCTATGATCACTTACCATGGTGATAAGGTAATCGTGGAGTTATTGTGGTAGAATTTACGACTCTTTGTCAGTCTGAATTATGTTCAGTTACTCCATATACGTTCCACAGCAAACGTATGGCTTGCAAGGTTAATAGATGTACAACTACTTACGTCCCTCTGCACAAAATACGTCTTAGATAGAAATTATTTGAAAGTAAAGTATTCCAGGTGTAAGATATGTCCTTATTAATCGGTAACACCTCAAATTACGTAGATGGAAGTATCTTTGACGCTTTTAAAATAACATTTCACGTCGAAGCTGGAAAATATCTCAAATTCAGTACACAAAATATTGGTCCACGAGACTTGGATACCGGCCTAGATGCTCTCATTTGCCAACCCGTGAATGCCACAAGGTGAACCGCTTGGCCTTGTGCAGGATGTACGACCTCCAACTCTGCAAAATGTTGCGTCATATTGTCTTGCGACTGCCATAAAGCATCGCAGTTTCACTGCACGTCTGACTGACTCCATAAAACTGAGTCCTTCAGAACCCAAGAGTCTCGCCTGTCTGGTGAAGAAATTCCCCTTTTTATATATTAGGTATATATTAAATCTTGTCCGTCTAATCAAAATAAATTCTTATTAAATATTAAAATATTACAATAATTAACATTTTAAAATATTTAAAATATTAAATGATGTTCTTTATCGAAATATTCGATTTTACATTAGACCATCATTTTTCATGTTTCACGACATGTTTCAGTTCCTAAAAGAACCATCCTCAGGTGTATATAATTATATAAAGCTTCAAAACGATAAATAATTTTAAATACAATTTTCATACATTATGCCAGCGTACATTTTTATCAGATTTTTACCAGATATTAAACGATGTTCTTTTTATATTAAACCCGAAGGTTCATTATCGTGTAAAAAAAATAGCCGGCAACTGGTCTACACACTTGGCGATATGAGCAACACATTCACATCGTGTTTATGTGAGATTCATGGACCAATTCCTTTACCCACGCCTAAGAATTCACGTTGTCTCCTTCCTTTACAACGTATCTCATAAAATGTGTGAACTATATCACTTTATTCTTTAAAAATGGAAGGACAAAATAAACTGAAGACAGACTTACACATTTAAATCAGACCTAATCATACATACATACATACATAACGAAAAATGCCATAACCGGAAAACATTGAACTCGTAACAGAAAACAAGAATTAGGAAGACCTCTGAGTAGATGGATCGACTATGGATATTAAAGACTGAACACATAAGGACACTTAATTCGTGACAATGAAGACTACGGTTAATTTCGGGTACGTTCCGTTGCTAACATAGATAAATTTTAAAACACAACACATCGTCCTGAAGATAGAAGCGGTAATTTACTCCGAAACGCCGTCATTTACTTTATAAATCCACACGACGTTTTTACCCACAAGACCAGTATCGACGCGGCCTTGCTGTCACGATAACATCAAACGTCTTTCGACTCACTTTTAATCTCTCCCCGGGATTCGAACAAGGACTGCTCATGAGTAACTGTTAACTAAACCACGGACGTATACCAGGAACGCAGTGTTAGTTGTGTTGGGTAACACAATAAACGTGGCGAGAATGCGTTGTGTGATTCACGCACGTCAATCGAATTATATCATCATACTGAAACTCTGTGAAACAAAGGGCAGTCCACGAGTCCTTTGAGCAAAGTCAATGGCTTCATTGCATACTGAAGAGGTATTGTCTGTCCTGCCTCGTCTTCGAAACTACTGAAAGGATTCCGATTTAATTTTGATGTCAGAGGCAGGCTTAATTTTTGTTGGTACCTCCGTA